TATATATATAATTATTAATTATTTATATATATATATATATATTTTTTTAGCAGTTGCACATATGACATTATACAACCTGAACTTACATTGTCTTGTCATAAAAAGTCAAATTTTGTTACATTTTATATTGACCTTGACGCACAATCATGAGGGTCTGCAGGTGTGCTTTCTATTATATAACTTTCTTTCTTTCTTTCTTTCTTTCTTTCTTTCTTTCTTTTTGACCACATGACTTTAAGTTGTTGGACACATTTTTTTTTTCCAAATATTAATACGATTTGAAGCAGTATGTTAAAAAATAATTATAATAATGTTATTTTAATAGACTAGTATGTTTACACTTAATGAGTTTTTTTTTCTTTATTCTGATATCAGGAAAGTTGTCAGCCTGTTTTTTTTTTTTTTCATTCATGCCCCATACCAAAATGTATTGATTTTATGTTTTCTGAGGTGCACTTACAATGATTAGCAGCATGTTTGCATAAAAACAAACAAAAAAAAACTTTAGAAATTAATGGCTATTTTGTACACTGATTTAGTTCAAAACATAAACATATTTACCAGCCCATTTCATTAAATTAGTAATATTTGGTAAATAGTGTTATTTTTAGTCCAGTGATTCTGCTGTAGTAATTATTTTGTCTGTTTCTATAACGCTTCAGTAGGCGGGCTAAAGATACAATAATTAAGACATAGACATTGATCTATGTCTATGCAGTCACTCTTGTGCTGTTGTATTAATCTCTATTATGTAATACAAACATACATGTAGAAAACGTGATTTTGCCAGCATGGGTTCAATAAAAGCTGTTTTTTGGTAGTTTTGAGCTCTGAAACTTACATTATATTTTTATAGCACGGTAACCTCTTAAATTATATTTAGCAATTCATGAACCCTTTAATATTTTTTTATAATTTTAAAAACACACAAGTGGTTAAATTAAGTCACTGTATGTATGAATTGTATTTCATAAATATAGGATACAAATTAGCATAATGGCATTGACCCTATTTCTGGG